AGCTGCTTCTGATGCGTGGGTCGCTAATATATGCAGGGCAGACGTCCATGTTGATGAGATCCAGGCGGTGGCGAGCGGTGGGCGGCTGAGTGCGCGCAACGCGATGCGCGGTGGCGTGCTGGCCCGCGAGCGCGTTCTTTGGCGCTGTTTGTACCCGATATAGCCCATAATACCCATAACCTTCTATATTATTCCATACAAGACTGGCTCGTGAGCTTACATCTGTAGTAGACAAGACCATGTCATATATATCAAGCCTCGAGCCAATCATATGTTCAAGCCTCAAACACGAGACCTATATGACCCCTAGAGGGGCGCATCTACTCGAACCTCAACCCGGAGAGCTATCAACATCTTAATTAGATGATCTAGCTCAACCCCAACCTTTTAACCCAAAGCTATCTATTTACAGGTATCATGATTTGGTCAGAGCGCAACTTTCTCATCAGCTACTACTCCGACCACTCTGCAAATACACACTTATTTGCAAGCACTCGCCCCTGTACCAGGAGGGTGTAAAACGCGGTGATTGGGTTTCTGACGGCTAGAGATCATCGCCATCATGAATCGCCGACGTCACTCGGATCTGGCAACTGCGGCTAGGATGCCCCAGACAACCCTTCGGGAACATGTCGGATTCAGGTGATTGCTTGTCCATCCACACCGAATTGCTGGCCTCGCACCACCATTCAGCAATTTCGTGTACATCGTAGGATTGCTGGAGGTACTGACAACATTGTTTATGCAGTGAATCTAAGTCGTCAGCTCGACGAAAGCTGGTGATCATGCGTGTTAGAGCTGCTTTCGAGACAAAACAATCACTGAGCTACCGCGATGAAACGGGTCTGCGGCGACCTCAAGACGGCATCCGAGCATTTCGGTGGCCACCAGCAACGAGAAACAAAATGCAGTGAAACCAGTGCAAGAGCTCTCCACTCAACATAAAGAGATTATGGCAATAGAGGCATGACACCTCACGGAGTCTCAGTCAGATGCGACACGGCAGCTGAGACATCAAGTTGCTCACCTTCCAGCAACCTTCGAAGTGGGATGACGCCGTCCACGAGGCTTTCGGTGAGCCCAGCGGATGCAACAGCTGATATTGCGATATTATAAAACAAGTACACATGCACGAGTCACGATCCAAGTCTAGTATGCGGCGAGCCTATGAACAAGAAAAGCGATGCAGAAACAGCGACGGAAAGCGATGGAAGACAGTACGACGCCTAAGACGCACAGGACATGCCTAATCGCTTCCCCGGAATGAGCATGCTCGTGAGATGTCCATGGGGAGACGGGGATGGGCTCGTAGTCCTCGATGAGGGCGGCCGATGTCCGCGTCTTGCTTCTGGCCACCGGCGGTAGACTGAGACACAAGCCATCTTCCCTCCCGCCCGAATCAAACGCTACAATCCAGTTAACGCCGTCCGAGAAGGGCTAGACAAAGACCGCGACAAGGTACTCACTCGGGTGTTGCAAGCTGAACTTGACGTCGCTCTGGCTGGACACGATCGTGGGCGTGTTCCTGCTTGTACTAGTAGCTCGGAATTGGACATAGCCGGGATTCGTGCCCCTGGGCGGGGCTATGAATTGATTGGAAATGTTCAACACGTCTTCGAAGGTATCGTCTTCGGAGGTTTGGCGTTGAAGGGATTCACGGGTGTTCAGGCATAGGCGCAATGCCTGTGAGTTCATGAGATGCCACTCGGGACGCGGGCGGCAGCTTTGAAGAGCTCACAGAAATAGAGTAGACAGCGGCAAGCCAGCTTGTGCTCATAACCGTGAGTGCACGCCTTTGGAACATGACCCCAAAGAGCAGATATACAAGGTTTACCGCTGAATCACAAATCGGGATGGCGTTCAGCGTTAGGAAAAGAGGTGGTGCACGGAGCGGCTCACCGAACACTCTGGAACGGTCGCCGAACATCAGCCGCCTGGCGATATGGGGAACATCAGGGCATTACTCACAGGAAGAAATAGACCGCACTGTCTCGTACCAACGACCACATGAGCGGACTGATGCTGCCAAGCTCCCAAATGGAGACTCTGTTGAGCGGTGTGCTCTGTCTCGTCAACGAGATTGCGCCAGCGAATTTATGAAGGATGAGGAGGAAATGGATGCCTCGAGACACGCGACCATTCAGCACGGCACACCGAATGTAGTCAAATGGTAGGGACACCTACATGAGGCGCACATGGCTACAGACCTAGAATACGACTGTCAGCTATGCACGCGTGGCTTGGAAACGGTTGATGCACCATGCCGCAATTGACAACCTGGGGTACTTGGGTGGGGTGAGGAGACATCCTGGAATCGGAAAGGAAGACGGCCGCTCGATGGCTACCACAGAAGTCGCGACGGCGGTCGCGGTGGCGACGCCGATCTTCCGGTATAAACTAGTATGTCAGCGACGGCACTCAACGCTGTGAGGATGACGCCGCGTACCGCCAGCTCAGCTACGCCAAGGTCGTCAGCGACTGCTATTCGGAACACAAGGAGAGACGTACCTGTGTACAGGAGAGCGATTATAACAAGGACTGGTCAACGTGAATTGCGTTGGTAACGCATGTGGAACAAGTGAGGCAGTAGGAACCTACGTAGCTTGCTCCTCGTATATGCTGCATATAGTCGCATCAAGAACATAGCTTCTCCGAGGAGCACGGTGATTAGGGCGCCGTTACTAACGGTAATTAGCATGAACGAGATATGCGGAGAGGTCTGGCGGAGGGGGCATACTATGAATCGTACCAGAGCCATCCTTGGCAGCTAAGGGAGAATATGAGTCCCGCATACACCACCATGATCACATAGTATCTTACACCTGTTAGAGAAGTGCCAAGTCAGGGAGTGATTGACCGACACGATAAACTGAAGATACTCACTGAAAATTTGGGATCCATGTCGGTAGTAACTGCGGCACAAACGGTTGGGAGCACTTAAGACTGGATCACGGTATAAGACTGGTGAACATACTAAGGATTGTCATCCTGCATAACATCGTCAGACTGAAGGGAGGAATACAGCGACTGGACACTCACATTAAGAAGACCAATGTATAGTACCTGACAAGAAGATAGAGAACCTTGGGCACGGACCATCTGGCTCTACATCGCATTACTATACCGAGCTACAACACTATGGAGCTCAAGAGACGTACTTCCATACGTATGATGCCTGAAAAGACAGTAAGCGACTGCATGGAGCAATCCGTGGATGTCCGAACGCACCTCGTTTGGCAATGCAGCCAAGATATCATAGCTTAGCCATACAGCAGCGGCAACTACACTCCCATAATCAAGTCAGCACGGTCTGAGTTGGCGCGGTGTAGTCACCATCAACTGACCGGTGCAAAGGTTAGATACATACACATCGCTCGCGTACTGAAGAAGCTGCTCGAGTTCCGCAGCGAGGTCAGCCGCAGAACTAGTGGACGCCATTCACCGTGATAAACTCGGGGCTGTGAAGACAAAGATTAGATCCGACTAGAGTCGAAGCAAGATCTTCAGTCAGTAAGGAAAGACTATATTGCAGCAACGAACTGTACCTAGAGTCGAAGCAAGACTACAAAGGTTAAGTAAGTAACTACAAGTTAGAGATAGATGTGACGAAGTACTCACTCTTCAGTCAGTAAGGAAAGACTGAAGAGTGAGGACGCAATCTGAAGTCCTTATATACTACAGAGAAGTGTCCATGACTAATCGAAGAGTGGTTAGTCACATGTACCATAGTGCGATGAATAATACAATGGTGAAAGAATTGCGACGTATCGCACCATAGGATGAGTAAGAGATGAGTAAGGCATAGACCTGTCTAGACCGTTCTGGAGTAGTACGGATTGTCCTAGACAGTACCAGAAGAGTCCGGAAGCATAGCTATAGTACACGAGCAGAGAGTCCCAAATATGGTAA